ACACCTTTTTCCCTTTCATTTCTTAGGATGTTCCAGGTTCCAGCAAACATTTTTGTTCTACCTTCCTTGCAGAATCTTGGACTTGATGTTTCACTGTATGTTGATCCAGTGCTGAGTCAGGAACCATGGCATATCTACAGAAGGGATTTTTTCTAATTAAAAAAAATTACAAGCTTTCATAGGGACTTAACCTAGAGGTGAGTAAGAACTGAGTGGAAAGCTTCCAAAAATTGTCTCTGAGGTGGCCAGTGTGCTTAATATGGATGAAGAAAACAAAGGCATATTCACGGTTTAGGCTTTATTCAATTTAGAGTAGATAAACTAAGATCAAAAAGGTCCTTTAGCCATTGAAAGTGGTTTATTGTATTCACTTATTCAGCAAAAGAGGTTAATTAATGAAAACTCTAATCATTCTGAAACACTCCCTAATGAGAGTTAAGAGCTAAAAGATTAAAGTCAGCTGGAGAGTTCTCAACTCCCAGGTGCCTCTGAAACACTCCTTGAATTTAAACCTTTGAGGAATTGGGGTAGGGATGGGAGGAAATTATGGAGAGATTGGACAAAGCTGGCTGGAAACTCAGGTCCCTGGGTACAACCTACCTGGATGCAGAGCCAGGCAGGGACTTCTAAAGTAGGTCAGCACAAGCTCTGCGAATCCAGTGTCTCTTGCAGAGCCCTCCAGAACCACTCAGCTTCTGCAGTCTCCAGTCCAAGGGGTACTTGAGATGATAACCCCAGATTCAGGTGCTGAATAGAAAGTTCAGGCTCTGGATTTTGCTCTTTCCTTTCCACCGGTGATGTCCACTAGAACTGGGCACAGGTTGCACAACTGAATGAGGAAGTTAAGAGTCTGGGTGGAAGAGAACCAAGAGAATCCCACCCAAAAGAGTACTCAAACACCAACAGACTCTCCCTATGCCTGAAGAGGGGTGTTTGTTCCCACAAGCTTGTAAAGAGCAATTTCCCCAACTATTTACCTGGTCTACTAAAACTTATCATTTGAGACCTACATCTTCAAAAGTGTGTAATGAGATAGGGTTGTTGGTCTAAGGCCATAGGCAGACCAGGTTCTTTGGGTAGGTGTGATATCTTTTATTAGACCAACTAAATAGTTGAAAAGATTGTTCTTTGAAAGATTTGAGGCACAAACACCCTTCTTCCGGCATAGGGAGAGTCTGTTGGTGTGCTCTCCTGGGGAGAATAGAAGCCCAAAGAGCCTTGTCATGAGATAGGATGCTTTAAATTCTGGGAGCTCAGCCTGAGATATCCAAAAGGGGTCTTTAATATGCAGAAGAGGACATACTGACAGTAGGAGTTTCAAAATACCACACAAAATAGCTAAGTGGCCAAGCCAATAAGTTTTGGAGATTTCTTATGAGGTCCCAGTCTCAGATTAATTCATGGCAGAGACCTAAACTCTGGAGGGTAAAAAGTGCATGTTTATAAAGGTGCAGTCCAATGATTTCTAAGTTAGTATCAGAGCTAGAAACAGAACCCTGGAGTCCTGCTTCAAGTGACCTGTTGTTTAATAGTGGGCAGCACCACTTACAACTGGAACTGTGTGAGGTTTGTTCATTACCAATGCAAATTTGAGCCCCCGCTCAAATCAATGTAGGCTTTATTGGGCATATCTACACCTGCGCTTTCATGTGCATTAGGCTATTTTAATGCACATTAAAGCATCACGAAAACCCTGTGCTCTTTAGCTAATGCACATTAAAATAGCCTAATGCACATTTTTCTAGTACTTCACAGTGGAGCTAGTACATTCAATGCACATTACCTAAATCACATTAATGAAAGTGTAGATGTACCCATTACTAAGAGCAAATACAGGAGTGAACACGCAATGCTGAATGGCTCTGCAGAAGGCAGTTTGACATCAGACTCACGATGTCATGAGTAGAGCAAATAACACAATGGGGCAAGGGACAACAACGATCCCACATCTATATTCAAGTTCTGTATTTCAGTGGGTTAACTGAGATCATTACTCTGTTATCCTAGCAGGCAGGAAAGAAATCAGCTGAAGGCTAGTTTGTGAAATGACAATTAACAATGGTCACTTGATATTTCAAGCAGAAATATATTATGATATTTCCTTTACAGTGACTTAAACCTGTCAGATATCATTACCAAAGTGGCAGTATTATGTTGTAGATATTCAGTAAACCATATGCAAGACAGTAATTGCAGGCATCATAAGAAAGCATTGTATAACTAATGCAAAGACCAAAAGAGAATGCAACAAGTCAAATGTAAGCTCCTGACCTAGGCAACATAAATATAATACTAAGTCAACTCCTGGATACCGAACCAGTGACTGGGAGTGTAGTTAACAAACCCTGACATGGCAGGGATAATGAACCATGAGTCACTTTTTAGACAAATAATCTATGTCATCTGTGAGGAAGAATCTCCTCTGATTCATTCTTCTGATATCTCAACATCCTAACAAAGCTCTGTAATCCTTTGACAGTGTTATGCCATTTGTAATTAATTCACAGCAATAAACAGAACTTTACTCAGTACAAATCTGTGGGAAAGGCGCCCATTTGATTTCAAATGCATGCCTAGAAATGTAGTTAGCTACAGATGTGAAGGCTGCTAATAACAATAGGATTTGATGGCACTATCTGCTTTGCAGACAACATCAGCAAGTATGAGTTTGGAGAAGTTGTAGCATTTCATCAGATGTCTTAGTGTGAATTGATTAGATTACTTATGCTGGAGACGGTGATTGCTATTTTGTCTCTAACAGAGCCAGCTGATGTTAACATTTCAGCTGATGCACAGACTGAGAGACTTCACTGACATTAATAACTTCTTGAAGTTAGAAACAACATTCCTTTTTTTTTCCTGCAGAGGGGTGTGTGGAAAAATTAATCTAGACTGAGATTACATTATGAAATCTATAATTTTTTATTAAAGAAGCACCTGTCATTAAACTAGTAGTCCATGCACTCTGAATTAATTTGCCAAGTTTCATATTATCCCACAGTTTAGCATTAATAATAACAAATGTAATTTGAAATAAATGGGAAACTCCTTTCTCATCCATGTCCAAATAGTGTTGGTTCAAAACATTGCAATAAATGAGTGCTGGACTAAATCTGATTATGGTGATGGTGTGTAGATTTATAGAGATAACAGGCAAACTGCCTGTAAGCCCCTAGCAAATGCTGCACATGAAAATGATTAATCCAATTCTCATTTATTTTCAGAGTGCTCATATGTCTAACTCCAAATTCATTGTAGTTTTCCTCAGCAATCTTACCCAAAGGAAAAACTAGTTAGACGTGATGAGGAAGATGATGCTGACTATTATCACTGCAATGTATTTATATTATCATACGGCCAACAAGCCCCACTCATAGACCAGCAATTTGTCAGGCTACATACTGAGCAAGCACATACTGGAAAGATTGACCCTACCCCAGCACCAAGGAGCCAATTCTCCAAAGCCCTGTGGAGCTCCCTTAGTGATGGCAGGGAATGAATGCAAAGGGCTGAACGCGTGGATTGTTTTATTTTTAAGGCAATATAATGTACATGTTGCTGAGATCCCAGTCTAGCATTCACAAGAGATCCTCATCATGAACCAAACTCATCAGTGAAGTGTGGCAAGTTTACAACACTTAATTACTTTGGGTAAACAATTCACCATAAACAATTTAATAAAGGAGTCATCCCCTTTCTCTGTTCATAAATTATCCATGGCCTCTTACCTGTTTGTGCACTTTTTACCAATATGCTTAAGGAATATTACAGCCCATGATTTGGTTGTGTAACTATTAAAGTATTTATAAGTTGGTAGATCTGGCCTCCCAAGTCAAGCAACGTTCTTGTTATTCCCAAGCTCACAGAGAACACCAGAGATGGCCACCAAAGACAAGCCGTGAACACTTGTGCAAAGACACATTAATGTGGATACCCAGGGATACCTTTCAAACAAAAAATCACTTGTATACATTTCTGTATAGAACAAATAAGAGAGGTCATGAAGAGAAACGACTCTTATTCCATCAAAGCATTGTGTATATTACTTTATCTGTATGTGGTCTACCAGATTAAATTGTACCAAAATAACCTTGATGTCCAGTCTGCATGAGAAATAAATGCTACTGCAAGGCAGAAAACAATGATTAGATGAACATTAGCAGACAATGCCGAATGCTTCAGTACAACAAAAAGCTACACCTAAATTAAGTAAAGAACACTGGGGGGGAACCCGCTCTTTTTTCCCCCTGCAGTCACCACAGCTAAAAGGTATGTATACTATTTGCAGATCATCCAGTAATAATATGCCACAGAAATACACTGATTATTACTGCACTTTTCTGAGATGGTGAAGATTTGTATGCCATACAGAGTCTGCATCTGCAGTGCAAATATAGCAGCTACACAGTATATAAGGGTGTATGATTAGCAAAATGCGAAGAGGACTAGGAATGAACGGACAGCAAAAACTCTTTAGTGGGATAAAAAAAAACACTCCCGCCCCACAAAGCCTGGATACTTTCACCCCAAATTTTTAAGTTTATCAAACCAGGCTCCGAACCTTATTAGGATACTCTTTCTTAATGTTTCCATCCAGTACTTTCTTTTCCTGGGCAGGTCAGAAGTACCGCAAGAATGCTCCCCTCCGAAACCCAGCAGTGAAAATTAACTAGAAAGCATGTACAAGCACTTAAATAAATTATTTTAAAAACATAAGGAAGGTTTCATCTGAGTTAAAGACTATAATTTAGGCCAGTTTGCCTTTTATCCAGAGCTATGCAACTACCCTGTCTGAAAATTACCTCAATACTTAAAAACAATGTAAAGACGTAGTCACTCACTACACCTTCTTAGCACTGTGGTACTGGCCCATGTGGGCGTCTCATTAATGATGAACAGCTTACAGAAAAAAAACCGCTGCCCTTCACGACACGATCTTCACTCTGACTTGTCCCATGTCACGAGTTCCAAACACACCCCTACAAACAGACAGAAAATACCTGAATTGTCTTTTGGCGCTGTAGCATCCCTCTCATCACTATTGCGGATGGAATGAGGCTCTGTTGTGCTAATCCTGCCAGGGTTGTTCTTGTGTGTTTTACTCCCTGGCCCAGGTGATGCTGTGAACCCTTTAAACTGTACAGTCGTGGAAGTGGTAGTAGTAGTGGTGGTTGCCACAGTAGTTGTTCTTGTTTGTAAAGTGGCGGTGGTGGTGGTGGTGGTGGTGCCATAATTCCCGGGGAACGTACTGGTTTCTACGGAGTCCTCATCTCCTGTTGGACCCCATATAATTACTTCAGGCAGTGTGGTGGGCCTGCTGTCTCTGTGATCAAAACTGCTTTCTCGGAGGTGCCTTTTCCCCCTTTTCAAATGAGTCTGCTGCTCTGTACTCCTCTTGTTCCCATCTGCAATGGAAGGGGCTGATTTTGCTGCAGTAGAGCGCTGAGACTGCATGCTTTTAGAAAGAAAGCCTGAAAACTGGTCTGTGGTTTTGTGTGGCCTTTTGGAATGATATGTTTGTATTTGCTGATCAGACCATTCAGGATGAAAAGAAGCCTGGTTCCAGAAAGGACTGAGAATACGCAGCTGCTGTCCATTTTTAAAACTCCACAAAGGACTATGGGACAATCTGTGCCGGTGAGATGGCCTCTGCCAGAGCCTAAACCCTTGGCCTTGGGCTACAGATTCACAGGTGGAGAAATCCATGGCTAGTTGAAACATGGCTATTAATATCCAAGCATGGCTTCCTACTGGGCAACCTGACCTGCAGACAAACATTGAACTGTGTTAGCAAAATAGAAAGAAAATGCTTTACATGACAGATTAGAAAACAAGGTTTGCACATCCATTAGTTCAACCTGCCAGAAGCACCTGAACTGAGAGGAAAAATCTGATAACCAGTTCAGAAGAAATACAGAGAAAGTCAGCTTAGTAGCTTCATAAGAACATACTGCTACCCTTTCTAAAAATTACAGCCCCATTTTTCAGAATGCTGCAGAGTCCCAGGATGCTGATCTCTAGCAATACCAATCCCTGCCATTAGCCATGGCAAAACTGTCATGGATCTGAGAAAGATATTGGTCTGGGAGTGTACCTATGTTATGCTCTGAATAAATGGAGAATGGGTCCTATTATGAACAGTCCTTAGGAGTACAGCCAAGGTGTGTATATTCCTGAACTCAGCATTCTTCACTGAATTGGATAGGAACTAGCAGCATGCATAACAGATAAACTGCCTGTATTCAAGCTCTTTATTTCAGAATGTATATCTAAGTCAAACAGAGGAGATGCATCTCCATGGCTGGCCAGTTTCATAAGAAAACTTTTGGGTTAATGAGATTTAATTATAAGGAAATATTTGAAGCAGAAAGAGTTTGAATTCACCCACTAAAACCTATTCCCAATGGCTCAGATCCCTGAGCCAGCATGGGATACCACTTGAGGGATGCTTCTTGGGTGTGCAGGAGTCTGCCTGTATGAAACACATGATTAGGGTCCAGCTGTGAAGTATAACCCTTTGCAAGAGAGTAATATGTCCCTCTTCTTTCCCTGTATGGCCAATACTCAGTGTTGTCCAAGAGGCCTTCATTAATGCAGTTGTATTGATTCTTACCCTCAGCTTTAAATATGTGGTTTATCTTTAAAGGCATATCTTTTGAATTTTGCATAGCAAATGCTGGTTTTGCTTACAGAACTATTTTCCTAATTCAAATAAATATCCTTTCTCTCCTGTCCCTTCTTATTTATCTGGACCCCATGTCTCTTAGAAATAAGCAGACGAGATAAATTAGAAGTCAATAGCAAGAGTCTGCTGAACTCAGACACAGGACAGTGAATCTATGTATAACAAATGCACTTTTCCTGTAACTTGAGGGATGCTTCTAATAAAATGAGACTTTCACTCACGTTCCAGTTTCCCTGCATGCAGCATTCTCACAGCCTCCCAAAGCTGATCTGCCTTTACACCTTAATTAAACCCAACGCCAGACTCACAGAAGTGAAACCATAAGGCAAGTCACCCAAAGGAAACAAAATGTGGTGCTGCTTCAGAGTCTCAGGATGCTGATCTCCAGGAATACCAATCCTTGCTGTCAGCCCTGGCAAAATTGTCTTGGAAACATAATGGATACAGGGAAGATGTTAGTCTGGAGATGTCTTCATTCAAATTACCAGTCCAATAGCTATGCCAGCCTCACTGTGGCTGCAGTACCAAACTAAAACCCGAGGCAGCGCCTGCCATTGAAACAAGCAAAGTTCCTCTCTATGACTTTAAACGAACATAACTTTAAACGAATTTATCAGCAATAAGTTTCACCTCTTTAAACGATGCCTGTTTATATCCTTCTGTCTCTTGTCAAGTGTATCTAGGAAAGTCAACCTTGCAGGTCTTTCCCTTCTCATAGTTCTGGGGTTAGGTGATCCTAAAACAGGGGTCTGTGTTTCCTTTCCATGCGGCACATCCAGTATGCTGTAAAGCATTTTATGAAATGAAACTGAATGCGACAGGTCAGCAGTGGGCACACTCCAGCCTGCCAATGGCACATCACAAATGATCAGAGCTGGCAGGATCAGAGGCTTAAACAAAGTTCACACCAAATAGGCCAGGGACATGAAATATTTTAAGCAGTTCTACAATTTTTTCTTAAGAAAGTACATGGAAGGCAGATGTGTTAGTCAGTAAGTTACAGCCTGAGAGGAGCTGTACTCTAGCACTGAACGTGTAACCCACTTACTATTAATCAGGTCACTTACACTTCAAAAAGAGCATCTACTCCCAGAGCGGGTGTGCAGGCCTGGCCTGCATGGCTAAGCAATGTGATACGCTGTACATTGCATCATTAAATAACAGTTTGCCTTCCTGCAGAGCACCTTGTGCTAGGGCTTTTTTAAGGAGCCTGTTCTATTACAGGGAATAAAAGAAAAGCAATGCCGTGCACTTTACCTTTAATTAGTCTTTCTCTGTACATAAAATGAATGGCTGTAAATTGCACTGATTTACCACCATACGCCATTTTTATTTTGCTCTAAGATCCTTAGTCTTTTTCTGGCTGGAATCATTGTTTCTTTTTCAATTACTTTCTATTTTGCAAAGTTTTCAGGTTTACCTTTTTCCTTGGTCAAGCTGATGCTCATTTCGCTTACCTGTAAATCAGCTCAGCACCATCCTGAGATACAAATCTGCTTTTATTAAGGATCATGGAACAAAATCCTAACACCTTAACACTGTTTTTGTTCAGCTTTTATACAAGAAAAGCTCTCAGTGAAGTCTGCAGGAATTAATGAAAGCTTTAAATGAATAAATGACCTAACCCTACCTTGCATAGTGGCTTGTGAGGTCATTTATGCCTGAACAAAGGATATGAAAAACCCTGCCAGCCTCTTCTGGTAGATGAGAATTTGGATACTCACTTTCTACAGGAGTAAAGGAAAGGAGAGGAAGGAGAATCACTCCCAGACACTGAGACTCAACTTATTTGCAGTTCAAAGACTCTCCTTCCTTCCCTGGGTCAGATTTTCCTTCTCTTTTTCCTCAGAGCTGATTGAAACGTTCCATTCAAACCTTTTTTTTTCCAAAAATATATTTGGTTTTCTTTTGAAATTTTCCAATTTTTAACCCAAAAACTAAACTGCATAAAAGCCTGAACCCCTCATGATTTACCATGTCTCCTCCCTTCCCCCTTCCCTTTCTCACTCTTCTCCATTCCCCCTCTATTTCAGCCAAAAAGAAATTATGTTGGTTTTGAAAAATATTCAGCTTTGGATTTTTTTTCCTCAAATAAAACTCAGTTTTTAACTATCTCTGTGGAATATACCTCCCATTTCTCAGATTTCCATCCCTCTAAGATGTGTTTCCACCCTGGCCCCTGAAATTCAAAAATAACTGCAGTTCTTGATTGTGTTCACATTTGATTTTTCACATTAACCAAAAAGTGAAAGATAAGCCTGTTACCCCTTTGAAGACCTGTTGTTCTACTGTTCGCTCCACTGAAAATTTAAGAAAGACTTTCCATCCGGATTAGGAAAACAAAACAATGTCTGATACAGTGCAGCAGCATCTGATGGTCAAAGTATTAGAGCACAAATGGTTTGGAAGATCTGAATAATACCACCTCACAACATGAGGATCCACTGGGATTTCAAAGTCACTATGTGAAAAAAGATGTGTTCTCAGCCCCGAAGAGCTCACAAACTAAGTGAAAAGTTGTTCCACCAAATGTTACCAATGAAATCGCAAAGATGGAGAACAAGGAACAAGGGTCACAAAAAGGAGATGCTGAATCCCATAGCTCAGCCATTGCAAAGTCCAACTCATCCTAATAATTATTTGTGTTGACATAAATAAAACCATGCCTTCTCCTTTAACCATCCCTGGCCAGCTAATTTCTTGTAGGAGTCACATAAGAAGAGGGAAAGGAAGTGTGACATTACAGATAGGTTTAATAAGTCTCCATGCCTAAGGGTGATGGGGAGGGAAGCATAGAGCTGATTGTGGGTGCTCCAAGTTAGCACTGATGGGAAAGCAGAGGGAAGGGCACAATGAGAGTGGTTAGACAGGGATAGGCAGAGCAGGGACTAGGAGGAGCATGGATCTGAGGAAGAGGAGAATGGGGAGGGAACAGAGGTGGGGAAGGCACGGTAAGAGCAGCTATGGCATAGTATGCAAGGAAGAATACATGGGAGCTTCTGTGTTACATCTCCCTTCCCTGTGGGTAACTGGATGGTTCTGCAGTGTTCTTGGTTTAATTCAGGTCCAAGTCAAGAGTGATCCTAGTGGTTATTATTTGCTTGGTGAAGTGTGCCAAAGAAATCCCATTGTCTCCTTCCCACATTGCAGTCTGATTCATGAGGCTCCAAGAGGCTCTATCAAGAACGTGGCTAAAAGGCTTCAGGACAGCTTGCAGCCTTCTTCATGAAAACTATGAGATGCCTGAAGTCCTGTCTTGATAGGGCATAATGGGGCTGCAGAGGAGAGCAGCTGGTTTATCCTTGCAAAGTTCAAATCTGTTGTTTCACTTGCTGCAGTTTTTTAATGGGATTTTCATCAGAGTTCGTATTCGGGACTCAAATCCACAGCAGGGTCCCCTGCTACATTTTGGAATCATGAATCTACTGTCCCTACTATGTGAAAGTAATTGTGTTCTTGCACAAAGGACATTTCCTATATGCTGCATGTCAGTGGTTCGGTAGGTAACACCCACTCTCTGCTGGACTGAAGTCAGGAGTTTGGTTTTTCAATGAGAATATTAAATACAGATTCACCTTAATAATATTCATAGCCCTGCTGTTATTCTAATGGCATGTCAGACTCAATTTCAGTTTTTGTCTAACCCTGTAATACAATTTGAAATTTTTCCTTGCAGGAAAAGAAAGATGCAGTGCACCCTCTGACAGTGTATCCATCTTGAGCAATACATTCTCATGTCACACGCACTCACTCTTTGGCTGCCTCTCAAGAAGGAAACAGGATGCAAATGATGCATTTTTATTAATAGCCTCTGAATGATAGGAAGCAAGCTCAGACCAGCCATAATTTGCTTGTGGCCAAACCTCAGCTGTTGTATTTGATCTTCCCAATGACAAAACCAAGCCCACCAGTGGTTTTGGATTCACATCCTACAGGAATGTGGAGCGTTGTTGTACTTCTCCTTCCCTTGTTCACTTGTGATATTATCAAGCTAAAGAGGGCTGGAATCTTACATAATGTAAACCAGGACAACTACGTAGACTTCAATGGAATTGTGTTGATCTAAACTAACAGAG